TTCCTTAGATGATATTAAAACATCCTCAGAACTTGGTTAGCTCAGGTAATTAAGGGGATAGGCTGTGGACCTTACTTCCTGTGCCTGAGCAGCCAACGCACCTGAGAACAATATAGCCATGAAGAGCTCCAGTCTCCCTCTCTGATGCTTCAGTGACAGATCATGATTGGTAACTCAGACAGTGGAATTATGCTCAGATGAATCAACTTGAGGAGTCTTCCATGCCTATCCTTATTAAATATCCTTCTCCTGATCTGACTAGGTAAATCTGTGTGTGTGTGTGTGTGTGTGTGTGTGTGTGTGTGTGTGTGTTAACCTATGAATGACTAAAAAATGTCTCAATATTTTGTTCAAATACTGAACCTAAAGTACTAGGGAACTGACATGAGTTAGATCCAGTCCAGAAAAGCCTCTAAGGGTATGGACTATCTTTTGCCAGGCAATGGCCATCTGCCATTTTAATTCCATCATAAAGAACTCCTTTATACTTCAAGGTATAAGAGTATATAAAAAAAAAAATTTAACATTAATATCTTTACCTCTGTTACCTGCCCCTTATTTTAGAATTACATCAACTAGGCTGGTGGAAGGAGGGAATAAACCCCCTCTAACCCCCTACTACATATATTATATTTTTGTACTCATCCAAATGAGGGGTAAAAATATCTGAAAGGAAAATTTTTGAAATTCCAAATTTTGAAACAACATGTATCACAGGCTTAGGACAGTTTACTTGTAGTTTGTAAAAAACACAATAATATATAAAATGACTTTTTTTTCATTTCTCTAAGGGTAGTGCTGCGTTGGTATCAGAAAAAAATAGTATTTTGCAACAGCTCAAAACAAGTTGCTTTTTGTTATATAAATGTCTCTAGCAAGTTTAATTTCAATGACCCTTTTTAAAAAAAAAAAGCTACAGTGCATAAGATGTCACAATCACTCCCTATTACCTCTAGGATAAAATGCAATTTTTTTATTTGACATTTAAAGCCTTTCGCATCAGCTCCAGACTACCCTTCCATGTTTACTTCCCGTTACATCCCACCATGCACTCTATGTTACAGCTAAAATGACCACCGTGCTTAGTGCTCCTCAAACATGAAGATATGCCATTCACCTCTATGTCTTTTCACAGGCTATCTATCCCCCATGTGTGGAATGCTCTCCCTTCTCAACTCTGTCTCTTGGCAACTGTAGTTCCCTTCAGGGATCATTTAAAATGAAATTTCCTATACAAGGACTTTCTTGGATGTTAATACTCTCTGAAATTAGGTAATATTTATGTTTAGTTTGTATATTAATTAAATTTACTTACGTGTGTACGTGCTTAATGCCTTAAGTAGAATATAAGATCCCTGAAAGAAAGGGCAATTTTGTTTCTGTTCTTGTATCCCTGGAGCACAACAGAGTGTCCTGCACCTAGTAGACACTTAATGATCCTTGTAGAGTTTAAGATAGGAGAATACGCTAGATGTCATAGCTTATGCCCAAATTTTCTGCCTGTAAAAAAAAACTAAAAAAAAAACTAAACCAAATTTTCTGCCTGGGATTATTAGAAATTAATGCACTAAATAAATGAGAATCAAAAAAATCTCATGGAATCATAAAGAAAAAGAAATTCTAGAGATTAGGCCCTGCTCCTAGAAGTTTCAAACTAAATCACACAGTATGCAGTTCTGAAAATTCTCCCAAATAAGACATATTTATGGTATATTTTCCTAACTTGGCTTACAGTTTGATGAGCTACATGACTGGAAGTCCTTTCTTATAGCTAACCTGAGTCCCTAGTGCTGCTGTTAGAGCCTTTTGTGTGAACCTCAGTGGACAGCTAGAACAGCTGGTCAATATCATGCTTATAATAACCATCGATATTCTTGAAATTACATTACCCTTGGGTTTGCACTTTTCCACACTAAATAATCCTGACTCCTTTAACCTTTTCTCAGAGGTCCTATTTTTCAACCATTTCATCATTTTTGTTGATTGCCTCTGGAAACACTCCAAAATTTCTATGCTTTTAAATATACGATTCTCTCAAATCAGCACAGTGCTTGATTAAAGGCCCTGCCACTGCCAAACATACTGGGAAGATCATTTCCTAGGTTAGCATGTTACTCCACTTATTAACACAAGCCTGTAGACATCAGGGAAGAATAAGGCCTGGGCGCTGATTTAAAAAAAAAAACCCTCAGCCCAATCTACAAGTACTTGTCCTAGGTCCTGTGGGCTTAGGCCTCTTGTAATTGCTATTGATATTGCCCCCAGGCCATGCTCTGTAGGCACTCTAACTAGAACAATATTACAGCCAGAGGAAATTGGGATGCGAATGAAATTTGTCTTTAAAGTCTTCCCATCATGCCTTTCAGGTATCTTTTCTTCTTTGTTAGATTTCCCTCGACAGGCACACTCGTCCTGTATTCAATACATTGAGCATTTATTAAGTGCTTACTCTGTGGTAGGTGGTAGAGATAAAAAAGACAAGAATTAAATAATCCCTGTCTTCAAGGAACTTGTATTCTACTACAGAAAAATAGCATTTACACAGAGAAGTAAATATTATAAAAGTAAATGCTACCAGAAAGGCATGTATGCACATATATGTTCATATGCATAGATATATACAGTATACATATACTCATATATACATATACACACTTATATGTATGTGTATATATATATGTATGTATATATATGTGTGTGTGTGTGTGTGTGTGTGTGTGTGTGTGTGTGTGTGTGTGGTGTGTGTTTGTATATACATTTGTGTGTATGGTGTGTGTGTGTGTGTGTGTATTATGTCCAGATCTGTGATTTTGTTGGTAAAGTGAACTCCTGGCAAGGAATCCCCCTCTAGTACTCTACCAATGTAAAAATAAAGATAATTTGAGAGGTCAAAAGATTCGCCCAGAATAACATCGCCAGTATGTATTAGAGTCAGTATTGAAACTTAGGTCTTCCTAGTTCTGAGACCAGCTCACCATCCACAATACCACATCATCTCTCAAGTATAAATATCTATAAATATCTATAAAATAAATAAGAAATATGGGGAATAGGAAAATCTTGAAGAAGACAGCACTTGAGCTAAGCCTCGAAGGGATCTAGGGATCCTGAAGCAGGGAGCTGGCATAGCTTTATGAGTAAAGACCAAAGGACACAAGGAAAAGATGTTTTTTTAAAAATAGAATTGACAAGACTTGGCAACTCAACTGACATAATATTTGCTTTTGGTATTTGTATCCCAAGCACCTAGCAGTGTCTGACAGTGTAGACATTTAGTAACTGTTTTATAGGCTCATTAATCAAATTGACTATATTACAATTGCTGCCACCTGAAAGGCTATAGAATTATATTGAGGATTGTAGAAAAGAAAGTAGAATATGGGAGGTGAACTAAGATAACAAGAATAAGGCATTGAAAAAGGTAAGTTGACTTTTTGGACCTTACTGTAAAATACAAGAGTGATGTATGGACAGGAATAGAGTACAACTAAGGAAGGCGAGAAAGAACATATTTGACTAGAGGTTGATTAAGATATGAGTGGAATCATGACAGTTCAATGGGATGAGATTTATAATGAGAATACAGCAATGGAAGTGTGTACCTTGGTCAAAAGGAACTGATTAGAAAGAAGGGGTAGAATGTGTTAGATTTTCTCCTGTGTAGAAATCTATGAGTCCAGGGAAAGTATTCAGGTGGGTGGGAGGAGGCGTTTAGAAATGGAAAAGGTATTTATCATAAGCCAATAAGGGTTCAAATCACACCCAACTAAATCTGTTTCTTTTTGTAGAAGGTTTACTAAATAAATAGATGAAAGAATGCCACACACATAGGATACCTAGATATCACCAAGTTATTTAACAAATTCATGAAATTCCAATGTGCAATACAGAAACTTGGACTAGATGATTGTAAGATTAATAAGTAGTTCAGAACTGGCTGGCTTAGTGGACCTAAAGTGTATTGACTGATGAATTGGTGGAACATTTCTAGTGGAGTACCCCTGAAATCTGTCCTTGGTCTTCATGCATATTTTTGTCAGTTATTTGGATGAAGTCATATATAGCATGCTGATCAAATTTGAAAATGGCACCATCATGAGAGAGATAGGTTTCAATAGCATTTGAATTGCAATAGGATTGGAAAGATGGGCTGACTCTATCAAGATGAAATTTAACAATAACAACAGCAATAATAATATCTTGCATTTATATTGTGCTTTAAAGTTTGAAAAGTGCTTTAAATATCATCCTAACAATAACCCTGGGATATAAGTGCTATTATGACACACCTTTTTACAGATGAATTAACAGGATGAGAGAAGTGACTTTCCCAATATCACACAGCTGGTAAGTATCTTAAACAAGATTCAAATTCAGATCTTCCTGATTCTGAGTTCAGTACTCTATCCACTAGACCACTTAATTGTGCCATATTGAAAGAAAAAAAATTTAAGCATGTGTGGGGTCACATGAGGGAAAAGAAGGGACTAAGCATTTATATTGTACTGTGTTAAGCACTTCACAAATATTTCATTTGATCCCTGCAATAACTCTATGAAGTAGGTACTATTATTGTCCCCATTTTGCATTTGAGGAAACTGAGGAAAACAGAGGTGAAGTGAGTTTTGCAGGATCACATAGCCGATACATGTCTGAGACCACGTTTAACTCAGGTGATTCTGATTTCAGGCCCTTCACTTTATCGACTCTACTAACAAGCTGGAGGAATAGCCATTTTCTCTGATCAACATGTCCTCCCAAAAATCCCCCAAATAGAAATTATGCTCCAAAGATAAAGCAACTTTAGTTCTCTAATATTCTAAGATCTCCTGAAGCCAAAAGAAGGTTAAAAAAAGAACCATGAACTGATACCTACCCTGAGCTCACAGAACACCCACCACCCACCACACTACTAACAGTGAAGCTTCACTAGTCAACCCAAAGATCCAACCTATGGGCCTGCAAAAAACTCAACCCCCCAATTCCAGTGTCACGGATACCTGAGCTTCGGGCTTTGGAAGTTGTTGGCTCCTCAAGGGTCACCACTGCAGCAGCATTCAGTATTACAGGAGAGTGGAGTAACTGAAGGAAAAGGGTAAAACATGTCTGAGATTAAAATAGAACTCAGCTTCCCACCCCAACCTCTCCTCCTCCTAGAGCCTTAGAGACCTAAACTCCAAATGGCAGAACTCAATCCCAACTAAAACAACAATGTTCTGAACTGTCCCACCAGAGAACTGAGCAACAAGGAGAAAGATAAAACATCAAGGGGGAGTGGGTATGGAGTGCTGTGCAGGATTGTGCAGCACTCAACTAAGCTTGAGAAAAAGAGTTCAGGTTTCAGTAGGGACATTTCTGTAATACCCCTCTACACCCACCCATTGCAGTCACTTGGGGCAGAGATCTAGGCTAGTCAACTGTGAATTGTTGGAAGAGACAGAGATACTTTAAGACTCAGCCCTGACAGAAACCATCATCAGAAGGGAAAGAGTTAGAAACTGAGCAATAGAGGATGAAAAAGATTGAAATCATCAAAGATAAAAGAAGACCTTGAGCATAAGTAGATAAATCAACAGAGAAAACATTGACCGAAGAACAAAATATGGCTAACAAATCTATTAAATGAGTTTATTAATCTACAAAAAAATACTTCAAAACTAAGGAAAATAATCCAACATTTAATGAGACAAAGGACCCTGTGGAATTTGAGGAGAACCCAGAACCACAACACACTATTCCTGAGCAGTTTCAAAGAGAAATGAGAATGATGAAAACAGAATTAATGGCCTGCAAAGAAAAATAATTGGCAGAACAGAAAAAAAAAATTTTTGAATCTGCAATGGCAAGTCTTACCAGAGCAACAAAAGAACCATTGATTTGGAATGCAAATACACAGAAGTAAGGGACAAGCTAGAAGAAGAGAAGCAGAAAGCAATAACATTAAAAGAAAATATGGTCTCTATACAAGCAAAAGATATTAATCTTGAAGACAGGGTGCAGAGAAACAATCTAAGGATTATAGGTCTCCCAGAAGGACATGACAAGTCAAAATCTCAGAACAAAATAATACAAGAAATGATACCACCTATAACTCATAAACAAAGAAAACAAAATACTAATGGAAAGAATCCATAGATTGCCTCCAGGAAAAAAAAAAATCAAGACTGAAAACTCCAAGAAACATAGGGATTAATTTTAACAATTTAATTCAGAAATGACAAGTGTTGAAGGGGATGTGGGAAAATGGGGATATTAATACATTGTTGGTGGAGTTGTGAACTAGTCCAACCATTCTGGAGAACAATTTGGAACAATGCCAAAAGGGCTATAAAACTGAGCATACGTGCCCTTTGACCCAGCAAATACCACTATTAGATTTATATTCCAAAGAGATCAAAGAAAAGAGGAAAGGACCTATTTGCACAAAAATATTTATAGCAGCTCTTTTTGTGGTGGCAAAGAATTTGAAATTGAGGAGATATCCATTAATCAGGGAATGACTGAACAGGTTGTGGCATATACTTGTGATGGTATACTATTGTGTTATAAGAAAAAATAAGCAGGATGGTTTCAGAAAAACCTGTGGAGACCTATATGCCTTGATACAGACTGAAGTGAGCAGAAACAGGAGAACATTGTACACAGTAACAGAATTATTATAAGGATAATCAACTGTGAAAGACTTAGCTATTCTGATCAAGAAAAAAATCCAGGACAATTCCTAAGGACTTATGATGAAAAATGCTTTTTACCTCCAGAGAGAAAACTGATGAACTCTGAATACAGATTAAAGCATATTTTTTTCTTTTTGGGTTTTTTGTCTGTGTTTTCTTTTGCAACCTGGCTAACATGGAATATGTTTTGCATGATTTCACATGCATAATTGATATCAAATTGCTTGCCTTCTCAAGGAGCACACAGGGGCAGAGGGAAAGAGAGAATCTGAAACTTTAATTTTTTTAAATGAATATTAAAAATTTTTATGTGTAAGTGGGAAATATTTAATGAAATAAAATATACTAAAAAGAAAAAATAGAAACAATTTAATTCAAGAACTTCTGCAAGTGATCAGAATAAAGACTATCAAATACAAAGGAAAGGAAATTAAAATAATCCAAGACTATTATGCATTCCCCCAGAAAGCACAAGAAGGAATTAAATAATGTGTCCTGAAGAGCAATGGAGTTTGGGATACAGCCCAGAATGATTTACACTGCAAATCTGAGCTTAGCCATAAATGAAAAAGACAGGCATTCAATAATAAAGAGATATTTGAAACAATTATAGAAAGAAAATCAGAAATGATGTGATTATTTTCTTCTCAAATTCTCCAGACAATAGAAATGCAGGAGGGATAAACACAATTGTGAAGGACAACAACAGCAATGAATGATGACAGAGAGACCAGCAAGAGACTTATTTCTAAATGTACACAAGAAGAGAAGGGTAAAAGTGGAAGTCAGGTGGAGAAGTGACACTTGGAATTACAGATAGAACTTAGGGACACCCTGCCTACATTTGAGTCAGTGTTTTTGTTGTTGTTATTGTTTGTTTGTTTTTGTTTTGTGGGACTACGTTACAAAATGAGGGGATGCATGAATGGGGGAATGGAAAAAGATGATGGAGGAGATTTTATGTTAGGATCAAATCAAAAGCTATCAGTGAGAGAGAGGTGACCCCTGTGATCTCTTAAGAAAAGAAGAGGGGGCAGCTAGGTGGTGCAGTGGATAGAGCACGAGCCCTGACGTCAGGAGGACCTGAGTTCAAATCCAGGCTCAGATCAAACACTTGAAACTTACTAGCTGTGTGACCCTGGGCAAGTCACTTAACCCCAATTGCCTTAAAAAAAAGCATAGATTAAAAATGAATCAGAAACAAAATAATCTAATACTAAAGAATAAATGGGTCAAAGGAAAAAAATCATTGAAACAATAATTTCACTAAAGATAATGACAACAAAAGGCAACATGCCAAATTGTGTGGGATGCAGCCAAAACAGTTTGTTCAGTCATTTTTCAGTTGTGTCATCAGTAAAAGAAAGGAAGATTAGATCAATGAGTTGGGCATGGAACTACAAAAAAAAATCAGAAAAAAATAAATTAAAAATATCCAATTAAACAACAAAATAGAAAATTTGAAAATCAAAGGAAAGAGTAATGAAAATTTTAAAAATCATTGAAATACAACTTTTCTTCTTGTTCACTTTGTTTCAGTTATGTCACCATATCTGTGACCTCATTTGGGGGTTTTTTTGGAGAATACATTGGAATGGTTTGCCATTTCTTTATCTTTCTTATTTTAAAGTTGAGAAAATTAAAGCAAATGGTGTTAAGTGCTTTGCATAGGGTGACAAAGCTATTAAGTGTCTGAGGCCAGATTTAAACTCAAGAAGATGATTCCAGGGCCAGCACTCTATCCACTGCACGACCTACCTAACCCATATAAATTAAAGTAAGAACTGGTGTTATTAAAAAAAAAAACATAAACCATTTGTTAATTTGATTTTTTAAAAAAGAATCAAAAATGAAAAGTGTATCACCAATGAAGATTAAATTAAAACAATTAACAACTTTAGCAAAGCTGAATAATATAAAATAAACCCACATAAATCATCAGCATTTCTATATATTTTTAGCAAAGCCCAGTGGCAAGAGATAGGAACAGAAATTATATTCAAAATTACTGTAAACAATACAAAATATGTGGGACTGCCAAGACAAACCCAGGAACTACACGAACACAATTACAAAACACTTATCACACAAATAAAGTCAGCTCTAAATAATTGGGAAAATACCAATTGCTTATGGATAGGCTGAGCTAATATAATAAAAATGACAAGTCTACCTAAATTAATTTACTTATTCATTATCATACCAATCAAACTACCAAAAAATTTTTTAGAGCAAGAAAAAATAATAACAAAATTCATCTGAAAGAACAAAAAGTCCAGAATATCAAAGGAATTAATGAAAAGAAATTCAAGGGAAGGTAGCTTAGCCATACCACATCTAAAACTATATTGTAAAGCAGCAATCATTAAAACTACTTTGACCTGGCTAAGAAATAGAGAGGTGGATCAGGGGAATAGATTAGGTACACAAGACACAGTAGTCAATGACTGAAATAATCTACTGTTTGATAAACCCAAAGACTCCAGCTTCTATGGCAAGAACTTACTATCTGAAAAAACCTGCTGGGAAAACTGGAAAATAGTATAGCAGAAACTAGGCATAGACTAACATTTTACACCATATACCAAGATAAAGTCAAAATGGGTACATGATTTAGACAGAAAGGGTGATACCATAAGCAAATTTGGAGGGCAAGGAACACATTACCTGCCAGATCTATAAAGAAAGGAAGAATGTATGCTGAAACAAGAGATAGAGAACATCATGAAATGTAAAATGAATAATTTTGATTACATTAAATTAAAAGTTTTTGAACAAAGAAAGCCAATACAACCAAGATTAGAAGGGAAGCAGAAAGCTGGGAAACAATTTTTATAGACAATGTTTCGTATAAAGGCCTTATTTCTAAAATATATAAAGAACTAAATCAAATTTATAAGAATACAAGTCATTCCCCAATTGATAAATGGTCAAAGGATATGAACAGGCAGTTTTCAGATGAAGAAATTAAAGCTAGCTATCACCGTATCAAAAAATACTCTAAATAACTATTGATTACAGAAATACAAATTAAAGCAACTCTCAGGTACCACCTCAAACTCATCAGATTGGCTAATAATAAATGTTGGAGAAAATGTGGGAAAATTGGAACACTAATTCATTGTTAATGGAGTTGTGAACTGATCCAACTATTCTGGAGAGCAATTTGGAACCTTACCCAAAGGGTCATAAAACTGCGCATACCCTTTGATCCAACAATACCACTACTAGGTCTGTATCATAAAAACAGATCATAAGAAGGAGGAAAGGACCTACATGTACAAAAATATTAAATGGAGATCTTTTTGTGGTGGCAAATAATTGGAAATTGAGGGAATGCCCATCAACTGGGGAATAGCTGAACAAGCTATGGTATATGAATGTAATGGAATATTATTGTGCTATAAG